ATGAAATGCCCCTGGTACCTTTTATAGGCTTTTTTAGGTGTGCTTTGAGTTTGGGCAAGGACACAGGGGCCCCATGATTCCCTATTGCCCGGGGGGCCCCATGAGTTGTCGGTCCGTCCCTGGCCGGGAGGGAGCCTCCATGTATCTGATATCACACACTTCTTGGCATACATGACTCCGCCCTGACTAATCTGTCAGAAATCCTTTCCTTCCAGAATCCACATCTTCTATGGGACATCATATTACAAAACTCCTCCCACAAATGCCGGCCATTGATTGCACACAAGATTTCGTAATTTGCACACAAAAAAGTATGTTTCCTAACAAATTCATCCCAGACCATGTTGCAAAAATGATCACACCCAAGGAAAGTATTAGGAGCAAAGCAAAATTTTAGACAACAAAATCCTAATGAACAAGAATTCAGCTCCAGGTGAGTCTATTTATTCTTTACACAGGCGTCCAGCAGACAGGTGATTATAAAAGGGCATTACCTAAGAAAACCCCGCCCATTTTATGCTGTCAGCAATGGCACCCCATAGAAGAGAAATGTCACAAGACCTGAGGAAGAAAATCATTTCTTTACACAAGACAGGTGAAGGCTACAAGAAGATCAGCAAAGCTTTACTTATCAGGCAGAATACTGGAGCAAAGGTGATACAAAAATGTAACAAAGATGGAACTGCACCCATCTCACAGAGACATCCAGGCCGTCCACGGAAGGTAACACCGTGACAGGAACGTCTCCTGATGAGAAGGGTTGAAGAAAATCTCCATGTGAGGTCACTGCAGTTCACTAGAGAAGTAGAAAGCCAAACTGGGGCAATTGTTTCCCGCAACACAATACGGCGTACACTGCAGAGGAATGGCATGCATGGGTGTCGTCCACGGAGGAAGTCTCTGCTACAGACCACGCACAGAAAAGCCCGCCTAGAATCTGCCAGGGGCCCGTGCTGAAAAAGAAGAAGACTACTGGGACTGTGTACTCTGGAGTGATGACACCAAGATAAACGTTTTCGGAACTGATGGCTTCAAAACTGTATGACGTCACAAAGGTAAGGAGTACAAAGACAAATGCACGGTGCCTACTGTGAAACATGGTGGTGGCAGTGTCCTTCTGTGGGGCTGCATGAGTGCTGCTGGTGTCAGGGAGCTGCATTTCATGGATGGTGTCATGAATTTACAGATGTCCTGCTCTATATTGGAGGAGAAGATGTTACCATCACTTTGTGTCCTCGGTCGTCGTGCACTTCTCCAACATGGCAACGATCCAAAACACACATCTAAGGCCACTGTTGCATTTCCGAAGAACGGGGGGTGACAGAGATTCAATGTGGGGGTACCATTGATGACCCGAGTCTTCGGGGTGGGGGGTGCCATTGATGACCCGAGTCTTCGTGGTGGGGGGTGCCATTGGTGATCAGAGTCTTCGGGGTGGGGGGTGCCATTGATGACCCGAGTCTTCGGGGTGGGGGGTGCCATTGATGACCCGAGTCTTCGGGGTGGGGGGGGGTGCCATTGGTGATCAGAGTCTTCTGGGTGGGGGTGCCATTGGTGATCAGAGTCTTCGGGGTGGGGGGGTGCCATTGATGATCAGAGTCTTCGCGGGGGGGTGAGTGATGCCATTGGTGATCAGAGTCTTCGGGGTGGGGGGTGCATTGGATGATCAGAGTCTTCGCGGTGGGGGGGTGCCATTGGTGATCAGAGTCTTCGGGGGTGGGGGGTGCCATTGGTGATCAGGTGGGTGGGGGGTGCCATTGGTGATCAGAGTCTTCGGGGTGGGGGGGTGCCATTGGTGATCAGAGTCTTCGGGGGGGGGGGGTGCCATTGGTGATCAGAGTCTTCAGGGTGGGGGGGGTGCCATTGGTGATCAGAGTCTTCGGGGTGGGGGGGTGCCATTGGTGATCAGAGTCTTCAGGGGTGGGGGGTGCCATTGAGGAGCAGAGTCTTCGGGGTGGGGGGTGTCATTGAGGAGCAGAGTCTTCAGGGTGGGGGGTGCCATTGGTGATCAGAGTCTTCGGGGTGGGGGGTGTCATTGAGGAGCAGAGTCTTCGGGGTGGGGGGGGGGTGCCATTGGTGATCAGAGTCTTTGGGGTGGGGGGTGCCATTGGTGATCAGAGTCTTTGGGGTGGGGATGCCATTGGTGATTTAGAGTCTTTGGGGTGGGGGTGTCATTGAGGAGCAGAGTCTGTCCTATATGAGGCCCCGTGTGATACCAGCCTTGTCCTGTATGGGGCCCCATGTGAGACCAGCCTTGTCCTGTATGGGGCCCCATGTGATACCAGCCTTGTCCTGTATGGGGGCCCATGTGAGACCAGCCTTGTCCTGTATGGGGCCCCATGTGATACCAGCCTTGTCCTGTATGGGGGCCCATGTGAGACCAGCCTTGTCCTGTATGGGACCCCATGTGATACCAGCCTTGTCCTGTATGGGGCCCCATGTGAGAGCAGCCCTGTCCTGTATGGGGCCCCATTTGAGACCAGCCTTGTCCTGTATGGGGCCCCATGTGATACCAGCCTTGTCCTGTATGGGGGCCCATGTGAGACCAGCCTTGTCCTGTATGGGACCCCATGTGATACCAGCCTTGTCCTGTATGGGGCCCCATGTGATACCAGCCTTGTCCTGTATGGGGCCCCATGTGAGAGCAGCCCCTGTCCTGTATGGGGCCCCATGTGAGACCAGCCTTGTCCTGTATGGGGCCCCATGTGATACCAGCCTTGTCCTGTATGGGGCCCCATGTGAGAGCAGCCCTGTCCTGTATGGGGCCCCATGTGAGACCAGCCTTCTCCTGTATGGGGCCCCATGTGACACCAGCCTTGTCCTGTATGGGGGCCCATGTGAGACCAGCCTTGTCCTGTATGGGGCCCCATGTGAGAGCAGCCCTGTCCTGTATGGGGCCCCATGTGAAACCAGCCTTGTCCTGTATGGGGCCCCATGTGAGAGCAGCCCTGTCCTGTATGGGGCCCCATGTGAGACCAGCCTTGTCCTGTATGGGGCCCCATGTGATACCAGCCTTGTCCTGTATGGGGGCCCATGTGAGACCAGCCCTGTCCTGTATGGGGTCCCCATGTGAGACCAGCCTTGTCCTGTTTGGGGCCCCATGTATGTATGTATGTGTGATGTGATTTCCGATGACAGGCTGATAGTGAGGAACATGAGATGAGGAATGAGGAACCTTCGCTGACACTCATCCCCCCCCCCCCTCGTAGTTCCGGTCTCCGGGTCAAATATTTTTGTCCTAATTTGAGTCATCCTCCTCCTCCTGACAGACAGACTCCGCTACAGTCCTGGCGGTGTTCACAAATGTCTGACACAGATCATCCCCTGCTGTCTGTCTTCGGTGGTGTCATGTCTGTCCTCGGAGGAGCGCTCTGTCCTCTGTGGTGTCATGTCTGTCCTCAGTGGTGTCATGTCTGTCCTCGGAGGTGTCATGTCTGTCCTCAGTGGTGTCATGGATGTCCTCGGTGGTGTCATGTCTGTCCTCGGAGGTGTCATGTCTGTCCTCAGTGGTGTCATGTCTGTCCTCGGAGTTGTCATGTCTGTCCTCAGTGGTGTCATGGATGTCCTCGGTGGTGTCATGTCTGTCCTCGGAGGTGTCATGTCTGTCCTCTGCAGGCCCCCATTGTCGGTGTCTGTAGACGGGATTGGTGTCACTGGTGGTGGGTGGAGTCGGGTTGCGGCAGGAAGGAGCTCACACCTGGTGGTGGGTGGAGGAGCTCTGTGGTTATTCTCTGAGACATCAATATCTCTGGAACATTCCGGAACCCCAGAGAGATATTCCGTATACTGCTGTATACTCCCCTCCCCCACACCTCAGAGATCATTGGAGGCCACAGAATTACCCCCCCCCATCTCCATTATGAGGGGTTCCATCATCCCTCCGATCAGGCCATTACCCAGAACCCTCCGATCCCAGAACCCTCTGATCAGGCCATTACCCAGAACCCTCCGATCCCAGAACCCTCTGATCAGGCCATTACCCAGAACCCTCCGATCAGGCCATTACCCAGAACCCTCCGATCCCAGAACCCTCCGATCCCAGAACCTCCGATCCCAGAACCCTCCGATCAGGCCATTACCCAGAACCCTCCAATCCCAGAACCCTCTGATCCCAGAACCTCCGATCCCCAGAACCCTCCGATCAGGCCATTACCCAGAACCCTCTGATCCCTGAACCCTCTGATCCCAGAACCCTCCGATCAGGCCATTACCCAGAGCCCCTGATCCCTGAATCCTCTGATCCCAGAACCCCGATCCAATACCCAGAGCCCTCGATCCCAGAACCCTCCAATCCGATACCCAGAACCCTCCAATCCCAGAACCCTCCGATCGATACCCAGAACCCTCTGATCCCATTAACCCTCCAATCAGGCCATTACCCAGAACCCTCCGATCCCAGAACCCTCCGATCGATTCCCAGAACCCTCCAATCAGGTCAACCCTACCCAGAACCCTCTGATCAGGCCATTACCCAGAACCCTCCAATCAGGCCATTACCCAGAACCCTCCGATCCCTGAACCCTCCGATCCCAGAACCCTCCGATCAGGCCATTACCCAGAACCCTCTGATCAGGCCATTACCCAGAACCCTCTGATCCCAGAACCTCCGATCCCAGAACCCTCCGATCAGGCCATTACCCAGAACCCTCCGATCAGGCCATTACCCAGAACCCTCCAATCCCTGACCCTCTGATCCCAGAACCCTCCGATCAGGCCATTACCCAGAACCCTCCAATCTGAACCCTCTGATCCCAGAACCCTCCGATCCCAGAACCCTCCAATCCCAGAACCCTCCGATCCCATTACCCAGAACCCTCCAATCAGGCCATTACCCAGAACCCTCCGATCCCAGAACCCTCCGATCCCAGAACCCTCCGATCAGGCCATTACCCAGAACCTTTGTTGCTGGAAGTGACAGGACATTACACGATTCAGGTCTGCTTTATTTAATCTCATACAATCCGTACGTGGGGTCCTCTCCATGGGGCCCCTGTGCCGGCTCAGTGGTGTGGCTCCTCGTATCCGGAAGGAAGTGCGTTGGTGTGTGGATTGTGGAAGAAGGTGTGATCTCCGTCACCCCAGGGGAAGCGCTGCAAGAGACAACGGGGAACCATCAAACAATTCTACTGGACTGTGGTATCTGCCAGTGTGGGTGGTCAGCGATTGGATGTAGAGGTTAGATGATCAGTGATTGGATGTAGAGATTGGTATGATCGTGTGATTGGATGTAGAGATTGGATGATTGGTGATTGGATGTAGAGATTGGTGATTGGATGTAGAGATGGATGATTGGTGATTGGATGTAGAGATTGGATGATTGGTGATTGGATGTAGAGATTGGATGATTGGTGATTGGATGTAGAGATTGGTCGGTGATTGGATGTAGAGATTGGTCGGTGATTGGATGTAGAGATTGGTTGGTCGGTGATTGGATGATTGGTGATTGGATGTAGATATTGCTTGGTCAGTGATTGGATGTACAGATTGGATGATTGGTGATTGGATGTAGAGATTGGTTGATTGGTGATTGGATGTAGAGATTGGATGATTGGTGATTGGATGTAGAGATTAGTCGGTGATTGGATGTAGAGATTGGTCGGTGATTGGATGTAGAGATTGGTTGGTCGGTGATTGGATGTAGAGATTGGTCGGTGATTGGATGTAGAGATTGGTCGGTGATTGGATGTAGAGATTGGTTTGGGTGATTGGATGTAGATATATGGTGGTGATTGGATGTAAGATTGGTGATTGGATGTAGAGATTGGTTGGTGATTGGATGTAGAGATTGGATGTGATTGGTGGTGATTGGATGTAGAGATTGGTTGGTCGGTGATTGGATGTAGAGATTGGTCGGTGATTGGATGTAGAGATTGGTTGGTCGGTGATTGGATGTAGAGATTGGTCGGTGATTGGATGTAGATATTGGTTGGTCGGTGATTGGATGTAGAGATTGGTCGGTGATTGGATGTAGAGATTGGTCGGTGATTGGATGTAGAGATTGGTTGGTGATTGGATGTAGAGATTGGTTGGTGATTGGATGTAGAGATTGGTCAGTGATTGGATGTAGAGATTGGTTGGTCGGTGATTGGATGTAGAGATTGGTCGGTGATTGGATGTAGATATTGGTTGGTCGGTGATTGGATGTAGAGATTGGTCGGTGATTGCATGTAGAGATTGGTCGGTGATTGGATGTAGAGATTGGTCGGTGATTGGATGTAGATATTGGTTGGTCGGTGATTGGATGTAGAGATTGGTCGGTGATTGGATGTAGAGATTGGTCGGTGATTGGATGTAGAGATTGGTCGGTGATTGCATGTAGAGATTGGTCGGTGATTGGATGTAGAGATTGGTCGGTGATTGGATGTAGATATTGGTTGGTCGGTGATTGATTGGATGTAGAGATTGGTCGGTGATTGGATGTAGAGATTGGTCGGTGATTGGATGTAGTATTGCTTGGTGATTGGATGTAGATATTGGTTGGTGATTGGATGTAGAGATTGGTTGGTGATTGGATGTAGAGATTGGTTGGTGATTGGATGTAGAGATTGGTTGGTGATTGGATGTAGAGATTGGTCGGTGATTGGATGTAGAGATTGGTTGGTCGGTGATTGGATGTAGAGATTGGTCGGTGATTGGATGTAGAGATTGGTTGGTCGGTGATTGGATGTAGAGATTGGTCGGTGATTGGATGTAGATATTGGTTTGGTCGGTGATTGGATGTAGAGATTGGTCGGTGATTGGATGTAGAGATTGGTCGGTGATTGGATGTAGAGATTGGTTGGTGATTGGATGTAGAGATTGGTGGTCGGTGATTGGATGTAGAGATTGGTCGGTGATTGGATGTAGATATTGGTTGGTCGGTGATTGGATGTAGAGATTGGTCGGTGATTGCATGTAGAGATTGGTCGGTGATTGGATGTGAGATTGGTCGGTGATTGGATGTAGAGATTGGATGATTGATGATTGGATAGTGAGATGCAGTGAGACATGAATTGTGAGCGGATCTGTCCGGGGATGACGTGGGGCCCCGGTGGCCCCTAGTGGGGACTGACCTTGGTGCGGATCCTCAGGTGACTGTAGGCCTTGAACTCCGGCTGGGTGTGCGGGTGATTCTGCTGCTTCAGCCAGGCGTTCAGCATGCAGACCCCGACACCCGGCAGGGCCACCACGAAGGTCAGGATCTTCCAGGTACGATCTGAGGGGGAGACAAGGGGGTCAGTATCAGGGGGAGGGAAGGGGGTCAGTATCAGGGGGGGAAGGGGGGTCAGTATCGGGGGGAGAAGGGGGGTCAGTATCGGGGGGGGGAAGGGGGTCAGTATCGGGGGGGGGGAAGGGGGTCAGTATCGGGGGGGGGGGAAGGGGGTCAGTATCGGGGGGAGAAGGGGGTCAGTATCGGGGGGGGGAAGGGGGTCAGTATCGGGGGGGGGGGGGGGTCAGTATCGGGGGGGAAGAAGGGGGTCAGTATTGGGGGGGGGGTCAGTATCAGTGGGGGAGAAGGGGGTCAGTATCGGGGGGAGAAGAAGGGGGTCAGTATTGGGGGGGGTCAGTATCAGTGGGGGAGAAGGGGGGGTCAGTATCGGGGGGGAGAAGAAGGGCAGTATTGGGGGGGAGAAGGGGGTCAGTATCGGGGGGGGGGGAAGGGGGTCAGTATCGGGGGGAGAAGGGGGTCAGTATAGTATCGGGGGGGGGGGAAGGGGGTCAGTATCGCAGGGGGGAAGGGGGGTCAGTATTGGGGGGGGGGGGGGTCAGTATCGGGGGGGGAAGGGGGTCAGTATCAGGGGGGGGAAGAAGGGGGTCAGTATCGGGGGGGGAAGGGGGCAGTATCGGGGGGGGAGAAGGGGGTCAGTATCGGGGGGGAAGGGGTCAGTATGGGGGGGGAAGGGGGTCAGTATTGGGGGGGGGAAGGGGGTCAGTATCGGGGGGGGGAAGGGGGTCAGTATCGGGGGGGGGGAGAGGGTGTCAGTATCGAGGGGGGGAAGGGGGTCAGTATCGGGGGAGAAGGGGGCAGTATCGGGGGGGAGGGTGTCAGTATCAGAGAAGGGGGTCAGTATCGGGGGGAGAAGAAGGGTCACTATTGGGGGGGGAAGGGGGGTCAGTATCGGGGGGAAGGGGGTCAGTATCAGGGGGGGGAGAAGGGGGTCAGTATCGGGGGGGGGGGAGGGGGGGTCAGTATCGGGGGGAGAAGGGGGTCAGTATTGGGGGGGAGAAGGGGGTCAGTATCAGGGGGGGAGAAGGGGGTCAGTATCAGGGGGGGGAAGGGGGGTCAGTATCAGGGGGAGAAGGGGGTCAGTATCGGGGGGAGAAGGGGGTCAGTATTGGGGGGGGGAGAAGGGGGAAGGGGTATCGGGGGGGGAAGGGGGTCAGTATCGGGGGGGAAGGGGGTCAGTAAGAAGGGGGTCAGTATTGGGGGGGGAGAAGGGGGTCAGTATGGGGGGGGAGAAGGGGGTCAGTATCGGGGGGGGAAGGGGGTCAGTATCAAGGGGGGAGAAGGGGGTCAGTATCGGGGGGGGGGGAGGGGGTCAGTATCAGGGGGGGAGAAGGGGGTCAGTATTGGGGGGGGAGAAGGGGGTCAGTATTCGGGGGGGGGAGAAGGGGGTCAGTATCGGGGGGGGGGAGAAGGGGGTCAGTATCGGGGGGGGGGGTCAGTATGGGGGGGGGGGGGTCAGTATCGGGGGGAGAAGGGGGTCAGTATCAGGGGGGATAAGGGGGTCAGTATCGGGGGGGATAAGGGGGTCAGTATTGGGAGGGGGTCAGTATCAGGAGGGGGAAGGGGGTCAGTATCAGGGGGGTCAGTATCAGGAGGAGAAAATGGGAGTCAGTATCAGGGGGAGAAGGGGGTCAGTATTGGGGGGGGGGGTCAGTATCAGGGGGAATGAAGGTAGTAATAATGGAGGGATAGTAGTAGAGGGAGTAGGAGTGTAATAAGGGTAGTAGTCAAAGATTTTGTAGTGAAGGGAGTAATTACAGGGGAATAGTAGTAGTGGAGGGGTAATAGTAGAGGAAGGTGTAGTCAGTGAGTAGTGGACGGGTTTTAGTAGAAAGGAGTAGTAACAATGGTAGTAGTAGTGGAGGGGTAGTAGTAATGAAGGGGTAGTGAAGGGAGTAGTAGTGGAGGGTTTTTCCTGAATCAAGTATTAATATAGGGGGAGGAGTATACAAGTAGTAGTAGAAATAATTGTAGTGAAGGGAGTAGTAATAGGGATAGTAAGAGTGATACAAGGGTAGTAGTGAAAGGAGTATTAATGTAGGGATGGTAGTAGAGGAAGATGTAGTTGGTGAGAGGTAGTGGAGTGGTTTTCGGAAAGGGATTAGTTTTGGGGTGGTAATAGTAGAAGGGGAGTAGTTATGGGGTAGTAGTAGAAAAAGGTGAGGTGAATGAGTAGTAGTGGAAGGGTTTTAGTAATGGGAGTAGTAACAAAGGTGGAGGGGTAGTAGTAAATGAAGTTGTAGTGAAGGGGGAGTAGTAATGGGGGTGGTAGTAGTCGATGGAGAAGTACAATGAGGAACAGAAGTATTTGAACCCCCTGCAATTCTGCAAGTTCTCCCACTTCTCCATCATGGAGGGTCTGACATTCACATTGCAGGGGATTCCCACTCTGAGGACAGAATTCAGGAAATCACATTGCAGGGGACTCCCACTCTGAGGACAGAATTCAGGAGATCACATTGCAGGGGATTCCCACTCTGAGGACAGAATTCAGGAGATCACATTGCAGGGGATTCCCACTCTGAGGACAGAATTCAGGAGATCACATTGCAGGGGATTCCCACTCTGAGGACAGAATTCAGGAGATCACATTGTATGATTTGTAAAGAATGTATTTGTCTCGCACGGCTGAACAGAAGTATTTGAACCCCTGAGAAGATCCGTGTTAATATTTGGTACAGAAGCCTTTGTCTGCAATTACAGAGGTCAGACGTTTCCTGTAGTCCTTGGCCAGGTTTGCACTGCAACAGGGATTTTGGCCGACTCCTCCACACCGATCTCCTCTAGATCTGTCAGGTTTCGGGGCTGTCGCTGAGCAACACGGAGTTTCAGCTCCCTCCAAAGATGTTCTATTGGATTTAGGTGTGGAGACTGGCTAGGCCACTCCAGAACCTCGATATGCTTCTTACGGAGCCACTCCTTGGTTCTCCTGGCTGTGTGCTTCGGGTCGTTGTCATGTTGGAAGACCCAGCCACGACCCGTCTTCAATGCTCTGACTGAGGGAAGGAGGTTGTTGCTGAAAATCTCACAATAAATGGCCCCATTCATCCTCTCCTTAATACAGTGCAGTAGTTGTCCTGTCCCCTTCACAGAAAAGCACCCCCAAAGCATGATGTTACCACCCCCATGCTTCACAGTAGGGATGGTGTTCTTGGGATGCAACTCATCCTTCTTTTTCCTCCAAACAAGACGAGTGAAGTTTAGACCAAAAAGTTCTCCTTTGGTCTCCTCTGACCACATGACTTTCTCCCATGCCTCCTCTGCATCATCCAGATGGTCATTGGCAACCTTCAGACGGGCCTGGACATGTGATGACTGGAGCAGGGGAACCTTCAGACGGGCCTGGACATGTGATGACTGGAGCAGGGGAACCTTCAGACGGGCCTGGACATGTGATGACTGGAGCAGGGGAACCTTCAGACGGGCCTGGACATGTGATGACTGGAGCAGGGGAACCTTCAGACGGGCCTGGACATGATGACTGGAGCAGGAGAGAACCTTCAGACGGGCCTGGACATGTGATGACTTGAGCAGGGGAACCTTCAGACGGGCCTGGACATGTGATGACTTGAGCAGGGGAACCTTCCGTGCAATGCATGATTGGAAACCATGACGGCGTAGTGTTCTACCGACAGTGACCTGTGAAACTGTGGTCCCAGCTCTCTTCATGTCATTGACCAGCTCCTCCCTTGTAGTTCTGGGCTGATTCCTCACCTTCTTATCATCAGTGATACCCCACGAGGTGACATCTTGCATGGAGCCCCAGTCCGGGGGAGACTGACAGTCGTCTTTAGCCTCTTCCATTTTCTAACAATTGCTCCAACAGTTGATCTATTTTCACCAAGCTGCTTGGCAATTGCCCCGTAGCCCTTTCCAGCCTTGTGGAGGTCCACAATTTTGTCTCTGGTGTCTTTTGACAGCTCTTTGGTCTTGCCCATGGTAGTAGTTGGCGTCTGACTGACTGTGGGGTGGACAGGTGTCTTTAAAGAGCTCAGACAGGGGCTACTAAGTGAGATGAATGAGTGGAGTAGAGGGGGGCTTTTGTAAAGGTGCAGTAACAGGTCTTTGAGAGCCAGAATTCTTGCTGTTTCTTAGGGGTTCAAATACTTCTGTTCAGCCGTGCGAGACAAATACATTCTTTACATACAAATCATACAATGTGATCTCCCCTGAATTTCTGTCCTCAGAGTGGGAATCCCCTGCAATGTGATCTCCTGAATTCTGTCCTCGGAGTGGGAATCCCCTGCAATGTGATCTCCTGAATTCTGTCCTCAGAGTGGGAATCCCCTGCAATGTGATCTCCTGACATCTGTCAGACCCTCCATGATGGAGAAGTGGGAGAACTTGCAGAATCGCAGGGGGTTCAAATACTTCTGTTGCTCACTGTATATGGGTAGAAGTAGAAGAAGTTGTAGTGAAGGGGGGTAGTAGTGAAGGAGGGGTTTTACTGAACTGAATAGTAAGAGGGGTAGTAAGAGTAGTACTAGAAGAAGTTGTAGTGATTGGAGTAGTAATGGGGGGTAGAAGTAATGGAGCAATAGTAGCAGAGGAAGATGTAGTCAGTGAGTAGTAGTGGAGAATTTTAGTAAAGGGAGTAGTAACAGAAGGTGTATTGAGTGAAGTAGTTATGAGGTTAGTAGTGTGGAGGGTAGTAGTAGAAGAAGTTGTAGCGCAGGGAGTAGTAGTGGAGGGTAATAGAAATTGTAGCGCAGGGGGAGGGGAGTAGTAGTGGAGGGTAATAGAAGTTGTAGCGCAGGGAGTAGTAGTGGAGGGTAATAGAAGTTGTAGCGCAGGGAGTAGTAGTGGAGGGTAATAGAAGTTGTTGTAGCGCAGGGAGTAGTAGTGGAGGGTAATAGAAGTTGTAGCGCAGGGGAGTAGTAGTGGAGGGTAATAGAAGTTGTAGCGCAGGGAGTAGTAGTGGAGGGTAATAGAAGTTGTAGCGCAGGGAGTAGTAGTGGAGGGTAATACAAGTTGTAGCGGAGGGAGTAGTAGTGGAGGGTAATAGAAGTTGTAGCGCAGGGAGTAGTAGTGGAGGGTAATAGAAGTTGTAGCGCAGGGAGTAGTAGTGGAGGGTAATAGAAGTTTGTAGCGCAGGGAGTAGTAGTGGAGGGTAATAGAAGTTGTAGCGCAGGGAGTAGTAGTGGAGGGTAATAGAAGTTGTAGCGCAGGGAGTAGTAATGGAGGGTAATAGAAGTTGTAGCGCAGGGAGTAGTAGTGGAGGGTAATAGAAGTTGTAGCGCAGGGGAGTAGTAGTGGAGGGTAATAGAAGTTGTAGCGGAGGGAGTAGTAGTGGAGGGGGTAAAAGAGTAGTTATAGCACAGGGAGTAGTAGTGGAGGGTAATAGAAGTTGTAGCGCAGGGAGTAGTAGTGGAGGGTAGTAGAAGTTGCAGTGGAGGGAGTAGTAGTGGAGGGTAGTAGAAGTTGCAGTGGAGGTGGGTAGTAAAGAAGGTGCAGTCAGGGGTAGTAGTGGAGTAGAAGTTGTTAGTTGGAGTAGAAAAGGGAGTAGTGATGGAGGGGGTTTAGTAGTGGAGGGTAATAGTAGAGGAATGTAGTAGTAGTGGAGGGCAGTAGTAGTGGAGGGTAGTAGTAATGGAGGGAGAGTAGTAGTGGAGGGGTAGTAGTAGTAGTGGAGGGCAGTAGTAGTGGAGGGAGGGTAGTAGTAATGGAGGGTCCTAGTAATGGAGGGTAGTAGTAGTAGTAGAAGGTAGTAGTAGTGGAGGGTAGTAGAAGTAGAGGGTAGTAGAAGTTGCAGTGGAGGGTAGTAGAAGTTGCAGTGGAGGGGGTAGTAGAAGAAGGTGCAGTCAGTGGGTAGTAGTGGAGTGGTTTTAGTATAGGGATGTAGTAGTTGGGGTTAGTAGTGGAGGGTAGTAGTAATGGAGGGCAGTAATAGTGGAGGGCAGTAGTACTGGAGAGCAGTAGTAGAGGAGGGCAGCAGTAGTGGAGGGGAGGGCAGCAGTAGTGGAAAGCAGCAGTAGTGGAGGGGAGGGCAGCAGTAGTGGAGGGAGTAGGGAGGGCAGCAGTAGTGGAGTGGTGGAGGGCAGCAGTAGTGGAGGGCAGCAGTAGTGGAGGGCAGCCGTAGTGGAGGGCAGCCGTATTTTTTATTAGTGGAGGGCAGCCGTAGTGGAGGGCAGCCGTAGTGGAGGGCAGCCGTAGTGGAGGGCAGCCGTAGTGGAGGGCAGCCGTAGTGGAGGGCAGCCGTAGTGGAGGGCAGCAGTAGTGGAGGTGTAGCAGTAGTGGAGGGTAGTAATAATGGAGGGTAGTAGTAGTGGAGGGCAGTAGTAGTGGAGGGCAGTATTAGTGGAGGGCAGCAGTAGTGGAGGGTAGTAATAATGGAGGGTAGTAGTAGTGGAGGGCAGTAGTAGTAGTGGAGGGCAGTAGTAGTGGAGGGGTAGTAGTAGTGGAGGGCAGTAGTAGTGGAGGGCAGTAGTAGTGGAGGGCAGTATTAGTGGAGGGCAGTATAGTAGTGGAGGGAGGAGCAGTAGTAGTGGAGGGCAGTAGTAGTGGAGGGCAGCAGTAGTGGAGGGCAGCAGTAGTGGAGGGTAGTAATAATGGAGGGTAGTAGTAGTGGAGGGTAGTAATAATGGAGTGGTAGTAGTAGTGGAGGGTGTAGTAGTGGAGGGTAGTAATAATGGAGGGTGGTAGTAGTGGAGGGTAGTAGTAATGGAGGGTGGTAGTAGTGGTAGTAATGGAGGGTGGTAGTAGTGGAGGGCGGTAGTAGTAGAGGAGGGTAGTAGTAGTTGAGGGTAGTAGTAGTGGAGGGCAGCAGTAGTGGAGGGCAGCAGTAGTGGAGGGCAGCAGTAGTGGAGGGCAGCAGTAGAGGGCAGAGAGTGGAGGGTAGCAGTAGTGGAGAGGTAGCAGTAGTGGAGGGTAGCAGTAGTGGAGGGTAGTAGTAGTGGAGGGTAGTAGTAGTGGAGGGCAGTAGTAGTTGAGGGCAATAGTAGTGGAGGGCAGTAGTAATGTGGAGGGCAGTAGTAATGGAGGGTAGTAATGGAGGGTAGTAGTAGTAGTAGTGGAGGGGGGGGTAGTAGTGGGAGGGGGGTAGTAGAGGAGGGGTAGTAGTAGAGGAAGGTGTGTAGTAAAGCTGGTTCCTCACCTCCTCCGGACCCATGCCCATGGGCTGCGGTGGCCATGGCCCTCTGGAGTATTGGGGCCCCGGGGATCACCATTCTCAGCTGTGTTCGGGACGCAGTCAGTATCTGGGTGGTTTGGGAAGGTCACTGATGGCTGAGTAACATGTCACCAGGAGGGAGGAGGCGCCTGGATCTAATGTCCTCCAGACCTGGACACGGGCCAAATTCCTGGCTAAGTTTATCCCTGACACAGATCACACTCTACATACTATACTCTGCACAGGAAACCGCAACATGGATGAGGAGCACAGATCTCCATGTCGGTGTCCTTCACCAACCACAGATCTCCGTGTCGGTGTCCTTCACTGATCACAGATCTCCAAGATCTCCATGTCGGTGTCCTTCACTGATCACAGATCTCCATGTTCCTATCCTTCATCAATCACAGATCTCCATGTCGGTGTCCTTCACTGATCACAGATCTCCATGTTCCTGTCCTTCATTGATCACAGATCTCCATGTCCGTGTCCTTCATCGATCACAGATCTCCATGTCGGTGTCCTTCATCGATCACAGATCTCCATGTTCCTGTCCTTCATCGATCACAGATCTCCATGTCGGTGTCCTTCATGATCACAGATCTCCATGTCCGTGTCCTTCATTGATCACAGATCTCCATGTCTGTGTCCTTCATCGATCACAGATCTCCATGTTCCTGTCCTTCATCGATCACAGATCTCCATGTTCCATGTCCTGTTCATTGATCACAGATCTCCATGTCTGTCCTTCATTCGATCCGTGTCCTTCATCGATCACAGATCTCCATGTCGGTGTCCTTCATCGATCACAGATCTCCATGTCGGTGTCCTTCATCGATCACAGATCTCCATGTTCCTGTCCTCCATCGATCACAGATCTCCATGTCCGTGTCCTTCATCGATCACAGATCTCCATGTTCCTGTCCTTCATCGATCACAGATCTCCATGTTCCTGTCCTTCATCGATCCTTCATCTGATCGATCACAGATCTCCATGTTCCTGTCCTTCATCGATCACAGATCTCCATGTCGGTGTCCTTCATCGATCACAGATCTCCATGTCGGTGTCCTTCATCGATCACAGATCTCCATGTTCCTGTCCTTCATCGATCACAGATCTCCATGTCCGTGTCCTTCATCGATCACAGATCTCCATGTTCCTGTCCTTCATCGATCACAGATCTCCATGATCTCCTTCATCGATCACAGATCTTGTCCTTCATTGATCCTTCATCGATCACAGATCTCCATGTCGGTGTCCTTCATCGATCACAGATCTCCATGTCGGTGTCCTTCATCGATCACAGATCTCCATGTTCCTGTCCTTCATTCATCGATCACAGATCTCCATGTCTGTGTCCTTCTGTCCTTCATGATCACAGATCTCCATGTCCGTGTCCTTCATCGATCACAGATCTCCATGTTCCTGTCCTTCATTGATCACAGATCTCCATGTTCCTGTCCTTCATTGATCACAGATCTCCATGTCGGTGTCCTTCATTGATCACAGATCCATGATCTCCTTCATGTCGGTGTCCTTCATCGATCACAGATCTCCATGTTCCTGTCCTTCATTGATCACAGATCTGCATGTCCTTCACAGATCTCTATGTCCGTGTCCTTCATCGATCACAGATCTCCATGTCTGTGTCCTTGTGATCACAGATCTCCATGTCGTGTCCTTCGATCACAGATCTCCATGTCGTTGTCCTTCATTGATCACAGATCTCCATGTCGGTGTCCTTCAGTGATCACAGATCTCCATGTCGGTGTCCTTCAGTGATCACAGATCTCCATGTCGTTGTCCTTCATTGATCACAGATCTCCATGTCGGTGTCCTTCAGTGATCACAGATCTCCATGTCGGTGTCCTTCATTGATCACAGATCTCCATCCTTCATCGATCACAGATCTCCATGTTTCTGTCGTTCATTCATCGATCACAGACAGATCTCCATGTTCCTGTCCTTCATCGATCACAGATCTCCATGTCCGTGTCCTTCATTGATCACAGATCTCCATGTCCGTGTCCTTCATTGATCACAGATCTCCATGTCCGTGTCCTTCATTGATCACAGATCTCCATGTCGGTGTCCTTCATCGATCACAGATCTCCATGTTCCTGTCCTTCATTGATCACAGATCTCATGTCCGTGTCCTTCATTGATCACAGATCTCCATGTCCGTGTCCTTCATCGATCACAGATCTCCATGTTTCTGTCCTTATCGATCACAGATCTCCATCCTTCAGTGATCACAAATGAGTGCGATCACAGATCTCCATGTCGGTGGGACAGTCTCCATGTTGTCAGGGGGATCTGGATGTCCGTGTGTCACAGAAACTCAAGTGACTGCATAACAGATCTACAGCGAGGGAATGTCCCTCATGGGTGGGTCAGGAGGTGTCAGATACTCAGGGGAGTGCAGTAACATCTAAAACGGGAATGTCCCCTCCATGGGTGGGTCTGGAGGTGTCAGATACTCAGGGAGTGCAGTAACATCTACAGCTGGGGGTGTCACAGAAACTCCCTCATGGGTGGGTCTGGAGGTGTCACAGATACTCAGGGGAGTGCAGTAACATCTACAGCAGGGGTGTCCCTCATGGGTGGGTCTGGAGGTGTCACTGATACTCAGGGGAGTGCAGTAACATCTAAAACGGAATGTCCCCTCATGGGTGGGTCAGGAGGTGTCAGATACTCAGGGGAGTGCAGTAACATCTACAGCGGGAATGTCCCCTCATGGGTGGGTCAGGAGGTGTCAGATACTCAGGGGAGTGCAGTAACATCTACAGCGGGAATGTCCCCTCATGGGTGGGTCAGGAGGTGTCAGATACTCAGGGGAGTGCAGTAACATCTACAGCGGGGAATGTCCCCTCATGGGTGGGTCAGGAGGTGTCAGATACTCAGGGGAGTGCAGTAACATCTACAGCGGGAATGTCCCCTCATGGGTGGGTCAGGAGGTGTCAGATACTCAGGGGAGTGCAGTAACATCTACAGCAGGGGTCACTGAATGTCCCCTCATGGGTGGGTCAGGAGGTGTCAGATACTCAGGGGAGTGCAGTAACATCTACAGTGGGGGTGTCCCCTCATGGGTGGGTCTGGAGGTGTCAGATACTCAGGGGAGTGCAGTAACATCTACAGCGGGAATGTCCCCTCATGGGTGGGTCAGGAGGTGTCAGATACTCAGGGGAGTGCAGTAACATCTACAGCGGGGAATGTCCCCTCATGGGTGGGTCAGGAGGTGTCAGATACTCAGGGGAGTGCAGTAACATCTACAGCGGGAATGTCCCCTCATGGGTGGGTCTGGAGGTGTCAGATACTCAGGGGAGTGCAGTAACATCTACAGTGGGGGTGTCCCCTCATGGGTGGGTCTGGAGGTGTCAGATACTCAGGGGAGTGCAGTAACATCTACAGTGGGGTTGTCCCCTCATGGGTGGGTCTGGAGGTGTCAGATACTCAGGGGAGTGCAGTAACATCTACAGTGGGGTGGGGTTGTCCCCTCATGGGTGGGTCTGGAGGTGTCAGATACTCAGGGAGTGCAGTAACATCTACAAGGAGAGTTCCCTTGAGGGCGGGTCTGGAGTTGTCACAGATTCTCATGTAGCGGACCTACGAGATTGGTCCCGCTATATCTGATCCCTCAAGTATGCCGGTAGCTAGGCACAAGGTATTTCCGTCGAGGGGTATCAAATCTCGCTCAGTCTTCACACAGAACCAGGCGGGGGTTGGTGGTCTTTGTTTTAGTAGACCTGGGATAGGTATTGGGAAGAAGCTTTTGGATCCCCGACATTAGGGAACTGAGAACACCACAAGGTAGAGTTCCTCCACAACAGCTTTCAGCAAAGAGGGCTTCCTCTACGGTGCAGCCTGGGAGCTCGGTCTGGAATGGTCCTTCTATCCAGAAGGGGTGCACAAGCAACAGTCACTCTCTCCGGAATCTCTGTGGCCTACTCACTGTGATCTGTCACAAGGTATCCCAGAATGATCCACTCCAGACTTTGCTTCGGCATTCCGGAGACTTCAGCAGGATGACTCTTCTGTTCCTTGGGATCTGGAGACATCTGGGGTTTTTGTAGGCCTCTCCTAAGCCTAGGAAGGTTTGCCAGAATTTCCAGGCTGAGCCAATCTCCTGCCGGTGAAGGACCCCACCACTCTCTGCTCTCACCCCTATATACCACTCTCACTTGTCTTGACCAGGGATTGGCTGAGTGTGTATATATAGGGCCAGCTCTGACTCCGCCCTCCCCCTCACTAGGTGTCCAGAAGATTCTGGACAGACGGGGACACAGCTACAGAACTCCGAGTAGGCAAACACAATGATGTCTACCTCTAACAGCAGAGCCGAAAAACCACATTTTCCTCACTTCTAGCACCGGCCCTAGGAGGGCACCACACCCAGATGACATCTATAAGGGAAGTCTCCTTGTGGGAGGGTCTAGAGGTGTCACAAATATTCAGGTGACTGCAGTAACATCTACCAGGGGAGTTCCCTTGTGGGAGGATCTGGAGGTATCAAAGATACTTGGGTGACTACACTATCATCTACAACAGGGTTCCCTCATTGGCCGGTCTGAAGGTGTCAATGTTACTCAGGTGACTGCAGTAACATCTACCAGGGGAGTTCCCTTGTGGACAGGCCTGAAGGTGTCACAGAAACTCAGGTGACTGCAGTAACATATACAACAGGGGGTCACTCATGGGTGGGTCTGGAGGTGTAAGTTATAGTCAGGTGACTGCAGTAACATATACAACAGGGGGTCACTCATGGGTGGGTCTGGAGGTGTAAGTTATAGTCAGGTGACTGCAGTAACATATACAACAGGGGGTCACTCATGGGTGGGTCTGGAGGTGTAAGTTATAGTCAGGTGACTGCAGTAACATATACAACAGGGGGTCACTCATGGGTGGGTCTGGAGGTGTAAGTTATAGTCAGGTGACTGCAGTAACATATACAACAGGGGGTCACTCATGGGTGGGTCTGGAGGTGTAAGTTTATAGTCAGGTGACTGCAGTATCATATACAACAGGGGGTCACTCATGGGTGGGTCTGGAGGTGTAAGTTATAGTCAGGTGACTGCAGTAACACATGCAATGGGGTCTTCCTGTGGGTGAATCTGGTGGTGTCACAGAAATGGACTATAGTAAGAGGAGTTCCTGTGTAGGCAGGTTCTGGAGGTGTCACAGATACTCAGGTACTACAAGGGTAATTCCCTCGTGGGCGGGGCTCCCAGACTTGGGATGACACCATGGCCGGCACGCACAGACAGTTTCGATGGCATCCGTACAGCCGCTCACACACACCATAAAGAACGAGGAGACATCTGAACTTTTCATGTGTTTTATTGGTAACTTTCTTTAAATACAGGGCCCCGGCATTCCCGAGCGATGTTCCGAGCTGGGGCCACAGTCACTGGTCTTTTCAGCATTTTCCGGCGCAGCCTAGGGGGAGAAACACACATATTATGTTAACCCAATGTGTACCGCCCTCCCCCAGACCATCCCCCACCAATCCGCCCCCTGCTCTGTAAACCCCTGACCTCTAGGCTCTACCAATGATGTGACCAACGTTTTATGGGGTACGATGGTGGGACATTGGACCCCAACTGACCCCCTTTTCTCCAAAGCCATGCCTTGCTAATTGGGGGAGAGATGGGTGTGCCTGACATATCCCTGATCTCTGGTGTTGGGATCCTTGGATGATCCTACCAGATCCAGACATACCGGAGAGGGTCCTGGAACATCATCAGGACCTAACCAGGTGCTGGGGACCAGAGGGGGAATTACCTCCAAAAGTGGCCAGATTGGAATTGGGAGGTGCCTGGTCTTATTAGGACTGGGCCTTGTGTGTCCTCCATGTTGGCAGATATTAGAAAGTCATGAGAAAACTAGGGGTCACATGGCATCTCACAAGCCAACCAAGAGGCCTCTTCTCCCACCATTCTCACCTCTATAGCTGTTTCCATAATATCCGTTCTGTACGTACGCCGATTCCTCGGGCCCTGCAATACAGAGATGGACGAGATGACCACACCCATTATACTCATCTATCCTCCCCCGAGGGGTATGACTACATTGTGTCTGGGATGTATATATGGAGGACGGTATGGGACCGGATCAGGGGTGGACTGACCATTTGGAAACTCGGGCACTGCCTGAGGGCCCGGGGTCAGTAGGGGGCCCCATGAGTTGTCAGTCCGCCCCTGGACCGCATCCATGGGGAAGACCACGTGTGGTTACAATGTTGGCCACGGAGAGCCAAGACGACTATTTGAAATCTTTATTTAGATCTTGGTCTCGATTCCTCTGAACAATACAGAATATACATGACTGTATATATGGCCAGATGTATGCGGACACCCCCTTAAATGACGGAGCTCGGGGGTCTCCCGTGGTGATGGTACAACAAAGGGTTCCATGTGACAACTGGTGGTGATACGGAGGTATATATACTGTGGAGGTATGGAGGTGTATATACTGTGGAGGTATGGAGGTGTATATATATATACTGGGAGGTGGAGGTATAAAGGTGTATACACTGTGGAGGTATGGAGGTATATATACTGTGGAGGTATGGAGGTGTATATATATTACTGTGGAGGTATGGAGGTATATATACTGTGGAGGTATGGAGGTGTATATATATATATATATATATATATATATATATATATACTGTGGAGGTATGGAGGTGTATATATATATATATATATATATATATATATATATACTGTGGAGGTATGGAGGGTATATATATATAATATATATATATATATATATATATATATATATACTGTGGAGGTATGGAGGTATATATATATACTGTGGAGGTATGGAGGTATATATACTGTGGAGGTATGGAGGTATATATACTGTGGAGGTATGGAGGTATATATACTGTGGAGGTATGGAGGTATATATACTGTGGAGGTATGGAGGTATATATATATATATATACTGTGGAGGTATGGAGGTATATATATATATATACTGTGGAGGTATGGAGGGGTATACACTTGTGAGGTGGAGGTATGGAGGTATATATATATACTGTGGAGGTATGGAGATATATATATACTGTGGAGGTATGGAGGTATATATACTGTGGAGGTATGGAGGTATATATATACTGTGGAGGTATGGAGATATATATACTGTGGAGGTATGGAGGTATATACACTGTGGAGGTATGGAGGTGTATATATATATATATATGTACTGTGGAGGTATGGAGGTATATATATATATATATACTGTGGAGGTATGGTATGGGAGGTATATATACTGTGGAGGTATATATATATATATATATATATACTGTGGAGGTATGGAGGTATATATATACTGTGGAGGTATGGAGGGTATATATTATATGTGGAGGTATGGGGGTTTTATATATATATACTGTGGAGGTATGGAGGTATATATATATACTGTGGAGGTATGGAGGTATATATATACTGTGGAGGTATGGAGGTATAGTATAATACTGTGGAGGTATGGGGTATATATATACTGTGGAGGTATATATATATATACTGGTGGAGGTATGGAGGTTGAGGTATATATATATATAATATATATATATATATATATACTGTGGAGGTATGGAGGTATATATATATACTGTGGAGGTATGGAGGTGTATATATATATTATATTATATTGTGGAGGTATGGAGGTATATTTTATATATATATATATATATATATATACTGTGGAGGTATGGAGGTATATATACTGTGGAGGTATGGAGGTGTATATACTGTGGAGGTATGGAGGTGTATATATATATATTATATACTGTGGAGGTATGGAGGTGTATATATATGATACTGTGGAGGTATATATATATATATATTATATATATAATATATATATATATATATATATACAATGTGGAGGTATGGTGAGGTATATATATATACTGTGGAGGTATGGAGGTAATATATATATATATATATATATATTTATATATATACTGTGGAGGTATGGAGGTATATATATATATATAAGATAGTTATAATATATATACTGTGGAGGTATGGAGGTATATATATATGTGGAGGTGTGGAGGTGTGGAGGTATATATATATATATATATATATACTGTGGAGGTATGGAGGTATATATATATATATATGAGTACTGGGAGGTATGGAGGTATATATATATATATACTGTGGAGGTATGGAGGTATATATATATATATATATATACTGTGGAGGTATGGAGGTATATATATATATACTGTGGAGGTATGTGGGTATGGAGGTATATATATGTGGAGGTGGTGCAGGTATATATATATATAGTATATATAAATGGAGGATACTATATATATATATTATATATATATATACTGTGGAGGTATGGAGGTGTATATACTGTGGAGGTATGGAGGTATATATTTATACTGTGGAGGTATAAGGTATATATATACTGTGGAGGTATGGAGGTATATATATACTGTGGAGGTATGTAGGTATATATATATTATATATACTGTGGAGATGGGTATGGAGTATATATATATATACTGTGGAGGTATGAGGTATATTATATATACTGTGGAGGTATGGAGGTATATATATATATGTGGAGGTATGGAGGTATATATATATACTGTGGAGGTATGGAGGTATATATATATATACTGTGGAGGTATGGAGGTATATATATATATACACTGTGGAGGTATGGAGGTATATATATACACTGTGGAGGTATGGAGGTATATATATATACTGTGGAGGTATGGAGGTATATATATATACTGTGGAGGTATGGAGGTATATATATACTGTGGAGGTATGGAGGTGTATATACTGTGGAGGTATGGAGGTGTATATACACTGTGGAGGTATGGAGGTGTATATATATACTACTGTGGAGGTATGGGAGGTGTATATACTGTGGAGGTATGGAGGTGTATATACTGTGGAGGTATGGAGTTATATATATACACTGTGGGGGTATGGAGGTATATGCTGTGGAGGTATGGAGTGGTATATAATATATACACTGTGGAGGTATATACTGTGGAGGTATGGAGGTATAGTATATATATATACACTGTGGAGGTATGGAGGATATACTGTGGATGCTGGTATGGATATATATATACTGTGGAGGTAGGGGGGATATATAATATACTGTGGGTGGTATGGTGGTATATATATAGCACTGTGGAGGTATGGAGGGGGTATATATATACTGTGGAGGTATGGATTTGGTTATATATATATAACTGTGGAGGGGGGGTGGTATATATATACTGTGGAGGTATGGAGTGTATAATAGCATACTGTGGAGGTATGGAGGTATATATATATATACTGTGGAGGTATGGAGGTATATATATATATAGCACAGTGGAGGTATGGGGGTATAATGCTGGGTGGATAATATATACTGTGGAGGTTGGGGTAGGTGGCATATGCTGGGGAGCCGTGTGATAGCATATAAGGACTGTGGAGGTATGGGTGGTATATAATGCTACTGTGGAGTATGGTGGTATATACAGTATATACTGAGGGAGGAGGTACCATATGTCCAGGCGCTCTGTCCGGCTCCTGTGTTGGTATCCACCTGTGAAGAGGCAGAAATGTTTCGCTGTAACAGAGTTTGTTAGGGTGGAAGAAAAAGTCTGCGCTTAGTGGGTGTGATGAAGTGGAGGGGGGGGTGGCAATGCTGGGTGGAGCCGTGTGTTAGCACAGTGGAAGGAGGGGGGGGTGGCAATGCTGGGTGGAGCCGTGTGATAGCACAGTGGAAGGGGGGGGGGTGGCAATGCTGGGTGGAGCCGTGTGTTAGCACAGTGGAAGGAGGGGGGGGGGTGGCAATGCTGGGTGGAGCCGTGTGTTAGCACAGTGGAAGGAGGGGGGGGGTGGCAATGCTGGGTGGAGCCGTGTGTTAGCACAGTGGAAGGAGGGGGGGGGGTGGCAATGCTGGGTGGAGCCGTGTGATAGCACAGTGGAAGGAGGAGGGGGGGTGGCAATGCTGGTGGATGGAGCCTTGTGTTAGCACAGTGGAAGGAGGAGGGGGGTGGCAATGCTGGGTGGAGCCTTGTGTTAGCACAGTGGTGAGGAGGAGGGGGGTGGCAATGCTGGGTGGAGCCGTGTGTTAGCACAGTGGAAGGAGGGGGGTGGCAATGCTGGGTGGAGCCGTGTGTTAGCACAGTGGAAGGAGGGGAGGGGGGTGGCAATGCTGGGTGGAGCCGTGTGTTAGCACAGTGGAAGGAGGAGCGGGGGTGGCAATGCTGGGTGGAGCCTTGTGTTAGCACAGTGGAAGGAGGAGGGGGGGTGGCAATGCTGGGTGGAGCCGTGTGTTAGCACAGTGGAAGGAGGAGGGGGGTGGCAATGCTGGGTGGAGCCGTGTGTTAGCACAGTGGAAGGAGGAGGGGGGTGGCAATGCTGGGTGGAGCCGTGTGTTAGCACAGTGGAAGGAGGAGGGGGTGGTGGCAATGCTGGGTGGAGCCGTGTGTTAGCACAGTGGAAGGAGGGGGGGGGTGGCAATGCTGGGTGGAGCCGTGTGTTAGCACAGTGGGAAGGAGGAGGGGGGTGGCAATGTTGGGTGGAGCCGTGTGTTAGCACAGTGGAAGGAGGAGCGGGGGGTGGCAATGCTGGGTGGAGCCGTGTGTTAGCACAGTGGAAGGAGGAGGGGGGTGGCAATGCTGGGTGGAGCCGTGTGTTAGCACAGTGGAAGGAGGTGGGGGGGTGGCAATGCTGGGTGGAGCCGTGTGTTAGCACAGTGGAAGGAGGAGGGGGGGGTGGCAATGCTGGGTGGAGCCGTGTGTTAGCACAGTGGAAGGAGGAGGGGGGGTGGCAATGCTGGGTGGAGCCGTGTGTTAGCACAGTGGAAGGAGGAGGGGGGGTGGCAATGCTGGGTGGAGCCTTGTGTTAGCACAGTGGAAGGAGGAGGGGGGTGGCAATGCTGGGTGGAGCCGTGTGTTAGCACAGTGGAAGGAGGAGGGGGGTGGCAATGCTGGGTGGAGCAGTATTGTAGTACTGGATTGGGTGGAGGAGCCAAGTATAAGTGAGATGGGTGGAGCAATGTGATCATTGTGGGCGGAGCAGCTGTGATTGGTCAGGACTGGAATACCAGTGGTGGGTATGAAGCTGGATGAGGCGTGGTCTGTAACTAGTCTGCCGTCCCCAGAGGTCCCTCTGACTGTACCTTTGATAGGGTTCTGTATCAGGACGCTGGGCGAGGTGGCCCTTATCGGAAGGGTAGTGGCCCCTTCTCTCATACTCTGAGTTCCTGAGGGATCCAAGAATATATATAGACATGTGGGTCTCCACTCATAATAGAAATAAGTTGGGGTGACACAAAGACACATGGGGGTGGAGATCCATGTGGGGGTCTCCTGAAACAGGGGACATGTAGACGGGGGACAGGTAGTTACAGAGACGTTAGCGTGTTAGCGGCACATACATGTTAAACGCTATTAGAGATTGAGAGACCTGGAATGTGGCGGGGCCATGTGACACTGGACAGTACAAACACGGGACATGGTACATATGTGGGGGGGACATGACATACAACATGTGAAGAATGGACTCATGGCTTACCCTCAACAGCAGCAGATGGAGAGATGTCCTCTGTGAAGACACAAGGAAAAGACTGAGGAGAAGTTGGGAGGACGGGGACAAGAGGGGGCAGGGAGGACGGGGACAAGAGGGGGCAGGGAGGACGGGGACAAGAGGGGGCAGGGAGGACGGGGACAAGAGGGGGCAGGGAGGACGGGACAAGAGGGGCAGGGAGGACGGGACAAGAGGGGGCAGGGAGGACGGGACAAGAGGGGGCAGGGAGGACGGGACAAGGGGAGGGGGCAAGAGGGGGGAGGACGGGACAAGAGGGGGGCAGGGACGGGGACAAGAGGGGGCAGGGAGGACGGGACAAGAGGGGGCAGGAGGACACGAGGGGACAAGAGGGGGCAGGGAGGACGGGGGGAAGAGGGGCAGGGAGGACGGGGAGGGGCAGGGAGGACGGGGACAAGAGGGGGCAGGGAGGACGGGGACAAGAGGGGCAGGGAGGACGGGCAGGGAGGACGGGACAAGAGGGGGCAGGGGAGGACGGGGACAAGGGGCAGGAGGACGGGACAAGAGGGGGCAGGGAGGACGGGACAAGAGGGGGCAGGGAGGACGGGACAAGAGGGGGCAGGGAGGACGGGACACGGGACAGGGAGGGACAACGAGGGCAGGGAGGACGGGACACGAGGGGGGGGACGGGACAAGAGGGGGGAGGACGGGACACGAGGGGGCAGGGAGGACGGGACAAGAGGGGGCAGGGGACAAGAGGGGGCAGGGAGAGACGGGACAAGAGGGGGCAGGGAGGACGGGACAAGAGGGGGCAGGGAGAAGGAGGGGACAAGAGGGGGCAGGGAGGACGGGGACAAGAGGGGGCAGGGAGGACGGGACAAAGGCAGGGGCAGGAGGACGGGACAGGACGGGACAAGAGACGGGACACAGGGGGCAGGGAGGACGGGACAAGAGGGGGCAGGGAGGACGGGACAAGAGGGGCAGGGAGGACGGGACAGGAAGAGGGGCAGGGAGGACGGGACAAGAGGGGGGCAGGGAGGACAGGGGACGGGACAAGAGGGGGCAGGGAGGACGGGGACAAGACAGGGAGACAGATAAGACGGGACAGACTAGAGGAGACAGTAAGGATGGGATGGCTAGAAGAATGAGAGAAATGGGATATAGATCGATACAGAAGGATGGGGGAAGACGGGACAGACAGAAGGATGGGGGAAGACGGGACAGACAGAAGGATGGGGGGAAGACGGGACAGACAGAAGATGGGGGAAGACGGGACAGACAGAAGGATGGGGGAAGACGGGACAGACAGAAGGATGGGCCAAGACGGGACAGACAGAAGGATGGGGGAAGACGGGACAGACAGAAGGATGGGGGAAGACGGGACAGACAGAAGGATGGGGGAAGACGGGACAGACAGAAGGATGGGGGAAGACGGGACAGACAGAAGGATGGGGGAAGACGGGGACAGACAGAAGGATGGGCAGAAGAGGATGGGGGACAGACAGAAGGATGGGGGAAGACGGGACAGAAGAAGACGGGACAGACAGAAGGATGGGGGAAGACGGGACAGACAGAAGGATGGGGGAAGACGGGACAGACAGAAGGATGGGGGAAGACGGGACAGACAGAAGGATGGGCCAAGATGGGACAGACAGAAGGATGGGCCAAGTCGGGACAGACAGAAGGATGGGGAAGACGGGACAGACAGAAGGATGGGGGAAGACGGGACAGACAGAAGGGGGGGGACAGAAGACGGGACAGACAGAAGGATGGGGGAAGACGGGACAGACAGAAGGATGGGCCAAGACGGGACAGACAGAAGGATGGGCCAAGACGGGACAGACAGAAGGATGGGCCAAGACGGGACAGACAGAAGGATGGGCCAAGACGGGACAGACAGAAGGATGGGGGCCAAGACGGGATGGGGGAAGACGGGACAGACAGAAGGATGGGCCAAGACGGGACAGACAGAAGGATGGGCCAAGACGGGACAGACAGAAGGATGGGCCAAGACGGGACAGACAGAAGGATGGGCCAAGACGGGACAGACAGAAGGATGGGCCAAGACGGGACAGACAGAAGGATGGGGGGGGAAGACGGGACAGACAGAAGGATGGGGGAAGACGGGACAGACAGAAGGATGGGGAAGACGGGACAGACAGAAGGATGGGGGAAGACGGGACAGACAGAAGGATGGGGGGACGGGACAGACAGAAGGAGACGGGACAGACAGAAGGATGGGGGAAGACGGGACAGACAGAAGGACAGACAGAGGATGGGGGGGATGGGGGAAGACGGGACAGACAGAAGGATGGGGGAAGACGGGACAGACAGAAGGATGGGGGAAGGGGACAGACAGAAGGATGGGGGAAGGGACAGACAGAAGGATGGGGGAAGACGGGACAGACAGAAGGATGGGGGAAGACGGGACAGACAGAAGGATGGGGGGGAAGACGGGACAGACAGAAGGATGGGGGAAGACGGGACAGACAGAAGGATGGGGGAAGACGGGACAGACAGAAGGATGGGGGAAGGGGACAGACAGAAGGATGGGGGAAGACGGGGACAGACAGAAGGATGGGGGAAGACGGGACAGACAGAAGGATGGGGGAAGACGGGACAGACAGAAGGATGGGGGAAGACGGGACAGACAGAAGGATGGGGGAAGACGGGACAGACAGAAGGATGGGGGAAGACGGGACAGACAGAAGGATGGGGGAAGACGGGACAGACAGAAGGATGGGCCAAGACGGGACAGAAGGATGGGGGAAGAAGGATGGGGGAAGACGGGACAGACAGAAGGATGGGGGAAGACGGGACAGACAGAAGGATGGGGGAAGACGGGACAGACAGAAGGATGGGGGAAGACGGGACAGACAGAATGGGGGAAGGGGGACAGAAGGAAGGGGGAAGACGGGACAGACAGAAGGATGGGGGAAGACGGGACAGACAGAAGGATGGGGGAAGACGGGACAGACAGAAGGATGGGGGAAGACGGGACAGACAGAAGGATGGGGGACGGGACAGACAGAAGGATGGGGACAGACAGAAGGATGGGGAGACAATGATGGGGGACAGACAGAAGGATGGGGGAAGATGGGACAGATAGAAGGATTATTGGACAAGAGGGAACAAATAGGAAGGATGGGAGAAGATGAGATAGAGAGGATATGAAAAGATAGAACAGAGAAGTATGGTGGAAGTTAGGTCAGATAGAAGTATGGTGGAAGTTAGGTCAGATAGAGTATGGTGGAAGTAGGTCAGATAGAAGTATGGAAGAAGATGAGACCAACGAAAGGGCTGGACAGGATGAGATATTGAGAAGGGTAGGAAATGACAGGACAGATATCGGAGGAGATGGTGGCAGAGATGAAAGACCAAGACTAGGTGGTATAAAAAGAAGGCCAGGACAAGTACGAGAGAGGTAGAGGGAGAAAGAACATACTGTAAATGGCATTAGAAGTAGGAGGATGGAATTGTAAAAGAAGAAAGTGAGTAGATGCGGAGAATGAAGGGTGGAGGAACAGATAGATGCTGGATAGCTGAAGCTCATGATAAAGTAAGAATAATGGAAAGAGGAAGTGAGATGATGCCGGGAGATGAAACCAGAACACAGGCCAGAGAGATGAAAGACAAGGCAGGATCATGAAGGAAGGCATGAGGACAAATGTGTGGATTTAGAAAGGGATGGACCAAAGGTAAATGAGCGAACGTGAATGAACATTGAGGATACATTTTGGTTCCTGGAGGCAGAATGAGGAACTATAGAAAACAGGATACTTACCTTCCAGAGAGTTCTGTGGGACAGACTGACCATTAAATGAGGTCTGACCAGCTCCAGCTAAGAAAGAGAGCGGAGAAAAGTCATTAGAACAACATTTGTCACATGGCTGGAATCATGTGCAAGAGGAATTTGGGGATTCTATGAGATACTCATAAATTATATATTTTAGAAAAATGTTCCAGATAATGATGGCAGATGTGAGAAAACATCGGGTGATGGAGCAGCTGAAGGATCCCTCTGACTGTGATGTTCAGTATTCTAGTTTCTGAGAAGGAGGTAAATCTCACCATATTTAGAGCTTGTGGCATCGGGATACCCGGCCTGGGCACCGTATGGAGATTTGGCTGCTGCTGATGAAGGTGGAAAGTTCACTTATTAGTCTACAGAAAGGCCACCACCTTGTTATCAGACACAATGGCTGTGAAATGTTTTCCCTACCGGATTTTGCAGATTTAGGGTCGTATCCTAGAGCGTCAAGCTGTGATCTGTATGGGAGCTGACCATAGGCACCTAGAGAACAGACAGGAAGCATCAACAACTCAACAAAGAGGAGACAGAAGTAGTAAGACTAACGTGGCCATATATACAGGGCAATCCCAAAAACAACCAAACACAATACCCGCCAAGAGTTCCTACTGGAACCATGAAATGATCTCAATTATTGATGGTAAAAGTTGAAATTGCTCCATGTGTGGCCAGTATATGGGGGGGTGGCCTCCTATTTTAGTAATAGGAGGCAGAAAGGGGAATGACAAGATGAGAATGATGGAGGATAAGGAGAAAGAAAGAGAAATAGCAAGGGTGAGAGACGTAGGGGGAGATAACGAGAGATAGAAAAGGAGAAGGAAGTAGAGAGGTGACAGATAGGGAGCGAGGAAGGAGTATAGACAGAGAGGAAGGGACAGCAATGGAGAGACAGAAGGAGAAGTGAAGAAAGGGACTCACCCAGTTTAGCGTTCTCCCCCGCAGGCCCTTGGTACGCACTGAGTGGATTTTTTAATCCTACAAGAGAAGACACGTCTCTGTTATGCCAAAGATGGGACAATGCCTTTCAATAATTTGAACCCTTGAAATAATTTTCAGGTCTTGGGGAACCCCTGCTAAAAAAAATTCATGGGAGTTCAATGGAAAAAAATTCCTTGCTTTGGAGATCAGTGGTAAGAGAAATACCCCCCAGAATACCAACCCTATACACAGCCAAAAAGACCATTGGTGTCATGCAGTTGGCTCTGCCAAGAAGCCTTGGCCCCAAAGCTATGCAGACACCATCAAACTGGAGGTCAATCAGCCACAGCTCAAGGAACCCATCGCAAACTCTGGAATAACTTACCATTAGCATACGGCTGCTGGTATAACCCTGGAGATAAAACAAGGGAGAGAAGGATCAGAAGACAACTAATGATGGAAGATTGATGGTCCAGGATCAGAAGAATCAGAAATGGGGAAGAGACGGGATCACAAAGGATGGAGATGAGCAGCAATAGAATCAGAATGGGAGCCAAAGGAATCTATTCGGCTTCCAAGACCAGTAGGGGATGCCAACCATCCAAAAGTTTATGGATTTTGTGTGGGATCTTAAAATATGAAATGTTCGTGGGCAAAGATCTTTCCTTTATTCATTGTCATTACCCCATTCTAACTAACTTCAGGAGTTATATTTGTTCCTCTTCCTATTAGAGGACATTTCTCTCTGTCAAACATGGTTTGGCCAGCATTATTGTCCACTCCCAGGACTGACAATATCTGAATCATGATATTAGGTCTCACGGTACAGGTTTCTACTGTACACTAAGAACCAATAGGTGGGTATGTGTATACATGCTGACAAATTTTTGGAAGGTGGCCATGAAAAGTCTTGAGGACCAAGGTAACAGGCTCAAGGCAGCAAAGCCCTCCATAACTCAGGTGAACCCTCATAATTTGGTACCTGCTTTAGATGTCTTTGCTCCGATACCTACAAGACAGAATAAGACACAGTCACACATCTACCCATTACACCCACCATTCATTATGCTCTACGGTGAACATTTAGCAATAAATATTTTTTTCCAGAAAAGGTGACAACTGACATAAAATCAAAGACAGCGGGCGGGAGGTGAGATTAGGGGTCATATGGATGGTTTCTGTACAGAACTGATGTTATATTATCATCCAGGTTTCTTCTTTTTCATGACTTCTTATTTACAGTGTAGTGGTGACACAATGACCCTCTGTGGTCCTTCATAGTATCTATGGATGTCCCCTCTCCTGTTTATGGTTGTTGTTCATAGAACATTATCTGCAAATGTCTTCCAGTCATATACCAGATGACACAGTGACACGTTGTGGTCATTCCTTATAGAACATTATCTATGGGTGTCCTCCTCAAGACATATACCCCACCAGGTGACACTCTGTGGTCATTCCCCATAGAACATTATCAATGGGTGTCCTCCTCAAGTCATATACCCCACCAGTGACACTCTGTGGTCATTCCCCATAGAACATTATCAATGGGTGTCCTCCTTAAGTCATATACCCCACCAGTGACACTCTGTGGTCATTCCCCATAGAACATTATCAATGGGTGTCCTCCTTAAGTCATATACCCCACCAGTGACACTCTGTGGTAATTCCTTATAGAACATTATCTATGGGTGTCCTCCTCAAGTCATATACCCCACCAGTGACACTCTGTGGTAATTCCTTATAGAACATTATCTATGGGTGTCCTCCTTAAGTCATATACCCCACCAGGTGACACTCTGTGGTCATTCCTTATAGAACATTATCTATGGGTGTCCTCCAAGTCATATACCCCACCAGTGACACTCTGTGGTCATTCCCCATAGAACATTATCTATGGGTGTTCTCCTCAAGTCATATACCCCACCAGGTGACACTCTGTGGTCATTCCCCATAGAACATTATCAATGGAATGGATGTCCTCTCCCAGTCATATACCCCACCAGTGACACAGTGACCCTGAACTTGGTGTCGGCTATTACTGCGACTCAACCATATGAATATATATATATATATGTGCATGTACACTATATTGCCCCAAGTATTGGTCGGCCTTTCCACGCACATGAACCTTAATGGCCCCCCAGTCTTAGTCCGTAGGGTTCAATATTGAGTTGGCTCCGCCCTTTGCAGCTATAACAGCTTCAACTCTTCTGGGAAGGCCGTCCACAAGGTTTAGGAGGGTGTCTATGGGAAGGTTGGACCATTCTTCCAGAAGCACATTTGTCAGGTCAGGCACTGATGTCGGGGGAGGAGGCCTGGCTCGCAGTCTCCGCTCTAATTCATCCCAAAGGTGTTCTATGGGGTTGAGGTCAGGACTCTGTGCAGGACAGTCAAGTTCCTCCACCCCAAACTGGCTCCTCCATGTCTTTATGGACCTTGCTTTGTGCACTGGTGTACAGTCATGTTGTCCCCAAACTCTTCCCAGAAAGTTGGGGGCATGAAATTGTCCAAAATGTCGCCTTAACAGTTCCCTTTAATGGAACTAGGGGCCAAGCCCAACCCCTGAAAAACACCCCCACACCATAATCCCCCCTCCACCAAACTTTACACTTGGCACAATGCAGTCAGGCAAGTACCGTTCTCCTGGCAACGGCAAAACCCAGACACGACCACTGGATTGCCAGACAGAGAAGCGTGATTGGTCACTCCAGAGAACACGTCTCCTCTGCTCTAGAGGCCAGTGGTGGCGTGCTTTACACCACGGCATCCGACGCTTTGCATTGCACTTGGTGATGGAAGGCTTGGATGCAGCTGCTCGGCCATGGAAACCCATTCCATGAAGCTCTCTACGCACTGTTGTTGGGCTCATCTGAAGGCCACACCAAGTTTGGAGGTCTTTAGCTATTGACTCTGCAGACAGTTGGTGACTTCTGCGCACTGTGCGCTTCAGCATGCGCTGACCCCGCCCTGTCATGTGACGTGGCCTACCACTTGGTGGCTGAGTGGCTGTTGTTCCCAGTTGCTTCCACTTTGTTATAATCCCACTAACAGTTGAGCGTGGAATATTTAGTAGCCAGGAAATGTCACGGATGGACTTATTGCCCAGGTGGCCACCTATCACGGGACCACACTTGGAGTCACTGAGCTCCTGAGAGCGACCCATTCTTTCACCAATGTTTGTAGAAGCCGTCTGCATGCCTAGGGGCTTGATTGTATACACCTGTGTCCATGGAGGGGATTGGAACACCTGAATCACATGATATGGAGGGGATTGGAACACCTGAATCACATGATGTGGAGGGGATTGGAACACCTGAATCACATGATGTGGAGGGGATTGGAACACCTGAATCACATGATATGGAGGGGATTGGAACACCTGGGATTGGAACACCTGAATCACATGATGTGGAGGATTGGATGGAGGGAACACCTGAATCACATGATGTGGAGGGATTGGAACACCTGAATCACATGATGTGGAGGGGATTGGAACACCTGAATCACATGATGTGGGGGGATTGGAACACCTGAATCACATGATGTGGAGGGGGGATGTGAGGGGATGGACACCTGAATCACATGATATGGAGGGGATTGGAACACCTGAATCACATGATGTGGAGGGCGGGGACAATACTTTTGGCAATATAGTGTATATAGAAGCAGAGATTGCTCAGTCCAGATGGAGAATGTGATGGATACCTTGTGGGAAGATGTCACTGGGGCAGCCAGAGGCTATGGAGTAAGGTGAGTGATATGTGACTTAGGTGAGGATCAGGACATAAATGACAGCCAAGGGGGTGGATTACAAGCTGGACTTACCAAGTCTGGAAGGTTTTCCAATTCCACCTGGAAGAAAGCCGAGACATTGTGGCATTATTACCCATACAACAATTCCTGACCTTCTCAAGGCCCAGCTCCCATCCCATTCCCAGGTTTTCCTACGTAGCTGATATATAAGGATTGCTATAACTATGAACATTATCATTGTTGGTTAATATGGCACCAACATCTTCTGCAGTGATGTACAAGGTGAGGATACACAGGGCTACAAGGGTTACATTAAAGCCGAAACGCCAGCCAATAATTTATCTTCAGCTTTGGGTGGAGTGGAGAAGGTTCAGTAGCTCAGTCAGGATTTTATTGCTGAAGAACAGGAAGTGAAGGAAAACATTTCAAAGGGGCCACCGAAAATAAAACCCTGACAGAGGTCCCCACCCTTCCATCCTCCATCCAAAACTGCTAAAATGGCTGCATTCGAGCTTTACCATAAATACTGCAGTTCCAACATCTTCCACGGCGCTGTACAAAGTGAGGACTATAAAACGCAGAAATACTGTACACAAAAGACAGAGAATGAGAAACCACAAGAGCTTGCAGTCCAATACCTTGGTATAATGCAGCACCATTCCCATATCCTGCAAAATGAATGAGAAATGTTACTGAGCACCAATCAGGGTCTGGAGTCCATCATCTACGGGAATAAATATATATATGCATATTATATAGGCCTGTGGCCACCAGAACCTTCTTCTCATACAGAGGGAGGGGTCATAATCCATTTCTATACACAGCACATGTGTGGAGGGTGTGAAGGTCACGTGTCATATAAATGGTCACCACCTACCTGCTTTGGATGGTTTCCCTCCTATACCTGAAACACAAAGACATCCAATCAGCACATTGCCCTAATGTTTCCCCAGACAGACATGATGGACCCTTTCCGACATATTACATTGTCCCCTCTGACCATCAGAGAACACGAAGTACGCACCATATTGTATGTATTCCATGGGATGAAATGTTCCATTTCTGGTGTGTTATCTACAGGGATATGAGATGATCTTCTGACCCCCCCCCCCCCCCCTTAAAGCTGTGGCACTTTAGGCCAAGGCCTACACATTTTTCTAATTGTTCCAGTCTGCCTCCAAACCAGATGTCATAGATGCTCCATGTGGGGATATCTACAGATATAAAAACTCCGAACATGCCCAATCACAAGGCACACCTGAGTGATGCCCAGAAGACGGCCAAAATCCAACTGTACAATCTGCATCAGACTGACCTGCAACGAGGTACTCAAAGGGCCCTCTGTGTTATGTGGTTTGTTAAGGGTGGCTCAGCACTGTGAGAACTTGGCTAGATGGTTGTCTGAGGGTAGGGTAGGTTAGATCAATGTTAGGGGCTATAGTGTAAACTTTAGGGTTTGAAAATTAAAGTTTTAATTGGAGAATTCTTTGGGAGGAAGGTTAGATGTTAAGAGCTTATTTTATGGTACACACCATCATCTGTGTTATACATCTCAGTACCTTGCTGCTGCTGCTGCTGCTGGTAGGCATTAGGGTAACCTCCATATGCATTCCGGTACCCTATGGGGAAAATGAGAGACTTAAGTAAAAAAGAAGATCCAGGGGCTGCAGAGAGGTCCAGAGAAGAGAACTGAATAGAAGATGGAAGGGTAGAATGATGGAGAAACTCAGTACATGGAATACAAGCAAGAACTCAAGGGGTGAGGAGCAAAGGACTGAGCCTCCACATATGACGACGAAGATTATGAAAGAAGTAGCAGAGGTTTTACCTCCCAGAGCTGTTATATTGGGGTAAACTTTCCACAACCTATCCAAAAGAGGGGCAGTGCCTGAGGAGGGGCAATTACAGAAGGAAAGATAGGGTGCACCCAGGGAGGATGGAACCATAATGGGATTCTGTTGAGAAGTTCTCAGGATGAATGGAAGAAGGATGAACCCCATTACAAAGTGTTTAAACTTAAGAGACCTACCAGCCTTTGGGGGCTTTCCACCATAACCTGAAATAGAGAGAAAGTAACAGTGGATAAATGATGTGCTACTAAGACAAACCTTCCTGTGAGAATCCTACTAACCACCCATATATGAGAGACCTCCAAACCTGCAGGGAGACCCATATATGACAGTCCTCCAAACATCAAAGGAAACCCATATATGAGAGTCCTCCAAACAACTAAGGAGACCCATATATGAGAGCCTCCAAGCCTCTGAGGAGACTCCCATATACAATATGTCCTCAAAGACATTCTTGAGATCTGAATACGAGAGTCCTTCAAACATCCCAGGAAATACTAAGAAAGTCTAACATGAGGGTCCTCCAAGGAAAGTACTCCAAGAACTTAAAATGGATGTTCTCCACACCTTCCGGAAGAACCCAAATATGATAGTCCTCTGGGATCTTATGTCATTCAGAGGAAACATTGGACCCCCAGATGGCAAATCACTGTACTGAGCTCAGTAGATATTGGCAAATGCTGTAAGTAGTACTCTTTGATTACCTGGCTGCTGAAAGTTACTGGGATACAGGCCAGCATTATACCCTGAAGAGAAGAGGAGAAAAGGGATCCTGATTATTTCCAACCATAGCCAAAGGAGGATAGGAAGGAAGACAGACAGGACAGGAAGAGGATGGAAGACATAATGAGAAGAATGAAGGAGATGAAGAGCATAATGAGCTGGATGAAGGTCACAGACAGGAGGATAAAAGACATAGCAGGAAGGATGAAGGACATAGCGGGGAGGATGAAAGACTTAGCAAGAAAGATGAAAGACACAGTGAGAAACACGAGGGACACATCAAGAACTACCAGTAAGAAGTTGGACAGATGTCATTACCAGCCTGAGCTCCATATTGCGGGTAACTTCCAGCTCCATAACCTGACAAAGAGGAAACCAAACAAAACGTGAGCAACAACCAATCTAACTTTTCCTGGACAGAAATTATTTCTCCCTCTAGATCTGTCCAATTCCCAGGAGAAGTCACATTGTACATTATTCTGGATAATACGAGAGATAGAAGGATATACTTTACCTGTTTGCTCACCATACTGGGGGTAATTAGAGGCTCCATAACCTATGTGGGCAAAAGACACAAACAATGAGAAAAGTGTCCCATTTGGGGTGAGGAGACTCCAGAGAACAGAGAGAGGACAAGACCAGAGGGCATTAATAGATGGCATCAATGGACTAACATAATATAGTGTCACTGGTCACACTCCGAAAACCAAACATTTTACTGAAATTTAGAGACCAGAAACAATCACAGATCAACAGAGCCAATAGAGGAGGAGAAAGATCACAGAAATGACAGTACCAGCTTGAGCTCCATATTGTGAGTAGGCCCCAGCTCCATATCCTACGGTAAAGAGAAAACACAAATTAGAAAATGTTTTCTACAAGCCAAGGCATGTCTCTTATTCTTAGAAGAAAACCAATTCTTCTACTTTTCCCAGATGTTCCAATCATTTCTGCCGGTGTTCCTGAGCTCAGCTCATTGACTCCTTCTAGCAGCTAATAAATAGTTACAAATATTTACCCTCCTCAGCCAATCACTGAGGGGTTTGTTCAGCCTGTGAACTGAGGAAAGATGATGTTTGGTGGAACCTTCCAGAATGTTCTTCCCTCCTCTGGGAATGTTTTGAAGAACCTTCCAGAGTGTTTCTTCCCTCTTCTAGAAATATTTGGGGGAAACTTCCCGAGTGTTCTTCCCCCCTCTGGGAATGTTTGGGGGAACCTTCCAGGGTGAGAATGTTTAGGGGAACCTTCCAGGGTGTTCTTCCCTTCGGGATTGTTTGCAGGAACTTTCCAGAGTGATTGGTGGATGGGGGGTGGATGGGGGAGCATAAGGGATGATTGGTGGATAGTTGGCAGACGTGATCATTTGTGTGTGGTGGGCAGGGGAGATGATTTGTGGATGGCGGACAAGGGGAATGATTGGTGGGTGATGAGCATGAGGGATGATTGGTGGGTGATGGGCAGGTGATCATGATTCATAAATGGCAGGCATGGAGGATGATTGTTGGATGTTGGGCAGGGGTGATGATTGGTGGATGGCGTGCATGGGTGATGTTTGGTGGATGGCAGGCATGGGTGATGATTGGTGGATGGCAGGCATGGGTGATGATTGGTGGATGGCAGGCATGGAGGATGATTGGTGGATGGCAGGCATGGAGGATGATTGGTGGATGGCAGGCATGGAGTGATGATTGGTGGATGGCAGGCATGGGTGATGATTGGTGGATGGCAGGCATGGGTGATGATTGGTGGATGGCAGGCATGGGTGATGATTGGTGGATGGCAGGCATGGGTGATGATTGGTGGATGGCAGGCATGGGTGATGTTTGGTGGATGGCAGGCATGGGTGATGATTGGTGGATGGCAGGCATGGGTGATGATTGGTGGATGGCAGGCATGGAGGATGATTGGTGGATGACAGGCATGGGTGATGATTGGTGGATGGCAGGCATGGGTGATGATTGGTGGATGGCAGGCATGGGTGATGATTGGTGGATGGCAGGCATGGGTGATGATTGGTGATGGCAGGCATGGGTGATGATTGGTTGATGGTGATGCACATTTCTATGTCTGGTCTCTTCTATTCGGGATGTATAGACATGGATGCCCCCAGGGGGAGGATTCGGGGCAATCAGAACACACATACCTGCTTTGGATGGTTTCACTCCATAGCCTGAAAAATAAGAAATTTCTACCATCATAAACTCTGTTAAGCTGAATAAATCGGATATTATAATTGTGCGAGACGAAGGCGAGAACTGTCTGTTCTGCACCGGATACCAGAATGAAAGGGAGGAGCTGATTG